TAACAAATGTGGCATCGCAGCATATTTCTGTGTCCGATGCGAATGCCATAAAACAGCGCTTTTCCGCACGGTTCTCCTCAAAGCGATGTTCCAAAAGCAGCCACTACCAGTCAACTGGAGTTAATATACTAGATTAAAATCTGTTTGCTATTCCTGTTCTAGGGCAAAGAATACAGCATCTGCTTTGCCCCAAACACCCCCCACGAACATTTCCTTCCCAGTGGTCCTGGCTAACAATTAGAAAGTGTTCCTGTAAAATCAACAACATACCAGTACCCACCACACCAGCCCACAGAGACAATTCGAATGAGCCTGAGTCCGAGACACAGATTTTCTTTCCACTCAAGGACATCCAAGAGTGCTCATTTTTTTCAGGGTCAATTCATGCTTAGAAGGGAAATCAGTTGCACAACAATCTTTATTTGAATATAATGGAGCAAAAAATGCTCTTTTATTGATAGGATGTACATTAGATATCTTTGCAGCTGTTACATGAATATTAATTATCTGGCATATAAATGTATACACACTTCCACACTTGGTAGATTTATGCTATACACCAGCCACCCTGCACGGAACATGCCTTTTCACAAAGATATGCATGGCTGTCTGGGGATATCTGTAAAAACACACTTGTTCCAACATTTTGGCAATCAGACATCAGACACAGAGGAGCATACCAGAAAGATGAGTTCACAACGGGACCAGCTGGACTGAAGATGAAAACACCAGAAACCTGAAACGGAATTTATTGGGGTTCACACATGCAGCACATATATACAGTACAGTAGGGGTAACTGGAACATACACGGCAGATCTTACAGAGCATTACAAACAGAAAGGAAAGGAAACAGCAAAACACCCAAACACCAAAACCAAGAATCAGACCACTGCCGCGATCTCACTGCAGAAGAGAATAGCCTGTAGGTCGAACCGATGTCCAAAATCAAAGTTCACCTGAAAGAGGAAACTCCTCCAGGACTTTATTTACGGTGTCAAGACATTAACAAAAAACGCAGGAGCTGTTCAATGTGTGCCTGGACCAGGGTGGGGCTACATAAGCGAGTCTGTACCAACACAGAACATTTCTTTTCTCTTTTGACAGATGCAGGACACGGGTTTGGTACATTACATGTGTAAGAGCGGTGGTGACAAAGGCAAGTGTATCTGTCAAGTTCTGTCTAGTCATGGTGAATGCCGAAGGCAAGGGAGGGGTCTCCTTGGATGGCTACTTGAGCATCAGAGGGGGACGCTCTGCAACTTCACGCTAGTTGATTTTTGTTTGTACGGCACAGAATAGCCAATTTACTGTCCATTCTCCCTGAAGGGGTGACACCCACAGGAAGGGATGGACTCCTCGCACTGTGGGTCCTCTTCTGAAGGAGCCCTTGGTGCACTGATGGGAGGTTGAGTTTGCTAAGTCTTTCCCTCCTGTGAGTTATGGGTAATGTGGGTTGATCCACAAAGGCCTGCAACCCCCTTCGATGTGGCCTGGGTCACTGCAGCGGGAGGCCCGGTATTCTTCAGGGCTGTAGGGAGCAGTAAGTACACTGGCACAGGTTGAAAAACTGCCTGGGGGGAGGGGGAAGACGAGTTCGATTTGCATTTGTTGATTTCCATGATAGAAATGCCCTTACTATGACTGATCTCAAGCTACAAGCATGATGTCACTGGCCCTGGAATCGGGAAGCAGGTACAGAACTAGACCATCATACGGTGTCTCCACGTCACAGATATAATAGGCATATATTACTATATCAAGGGCGTAGGCAATAGCAAGGTGCAGTAAACTACGTAGAAAGTGATAAGTTTCGAATGTGTATTATTTTTGCTTTTAAAATCTATCTAATTAAATTTAATTTTCTAAAATGGCTGTTTCCTAACTGGCTTCTCAAATTCTGAAAACTGTAACAACACGCTCCGACGAGCTGGTTAGAGCATGTTCTGGTCCTTCCCTGACTAGAGGTGACTTCCGCCCCTCTGAGTGGGCTGACCAGGCACCCCCCAGGCTCCTGAGAGCTGCTCAGGACAGCGCAGCCCTGCTGCCAGGGTGGTCACCAGAGTGGCATTAAACCCTGAGTCTGAACAAAGGGCTGAAGGCTACTTTCTCCTCCTCCTGGTTCTGGGCATTCCTAACTCTGAGGACAGCAGGGACACAGTAGAGTGGGCACAGGGCAGGCAGCCTAACAGTGCCAGCTTTTCAATCCCAAAGGAAGGCACTTAGCCCTCAGCACTAAGCGGGACCTCTGTGGACATGCGGAGGTGCCGCCTACCTCCCACTGGTCAGTGGATCCTGGCTGAGGATTCCGGAGGCAGATGCTGAGCCATCAGACTTCTGCCCCAGAGCTGGGCTGTTCTGGCCAAGGCCAGCGTGCCCACCCTGCTGGGTGTAGGCGCTGCGCTGCAGCTGGCAGTCCGGCTCGTCCAGAGAGTGGTGTCAAAGCCAGCGTCTCTGGCCCACGCTCCTCACCCACTCCTGTTCTCCACCCTCTCTGCCCTCTGCGCCCCCACGACAGACAGGGATCGGCACATTCTTTGGAGCCAAGTGCCCAGTGGAGTTCAGCCGTGCTTTTGTGCACTGCAAGTGTCAGGAGGTGACAAGAGAAGGAAAGCAGGAAAAAGAAAGGGAAGGAAATGAAGTGAGTGTGTACAGCCTAGAGGAGGCAGTAAGGAAGACAGCTGGTGGAGAGAGAGGGCAACTGGGCTCTCAGAGCAGAGGGGTAGAGGGTCACTGACAAATACCCCCTCTCTGCCCTGCCTTCCCATAAGCCCCAGGCCCCAAAGGTCCTTTGCATCTTCAAGACGCGACCACCATGTACCGGCTCTAAACTCCACCCCCAAAATGCCCCGATACTGGCTGTCAGAATCTGTTTCCTGGGTGGCTGATCTGCTGAGGGTAGCAAGGAGGAAAGCAGCTCCCGGATGTCTGTAGGAAGGTTAGACCCAGGCACAAATCCTCAGAATTAGACGGAAACACGTTGGGAGGCCAAAGCTGGGACTGGCAACAGCTCTGAGGTTGGCTGGAGAAAAAACCTCAGTGTCCCCCACCTGCTTGGGAACAGACTTCCCAGGTCTCATCTCTAGTTCCAGGCCCTGGAACAAATACTTCAGAAGAAAGCAAGACTCTAAGCAAGATCACCTGTAGAAAGACTGGGCAATCTGTGTTGCTGATTTGTTTTTCTTGAATCCTGTCTTAGTGCAGTTTCCTGCTGGGCCTATTTAAAGTAACAGCACCCGTGTGGGTCCATTTTTCTCATTTTCTAAGTTCTTCAACAAAGGCCTGGCAATGGGGAGAAAGCCTTCTCCCATCACAGGTAGTCCCACCTACTAAGTAGTTCCTGCAGTGCCCCCCTTAGGCTCTTGTTTGTTTTAAATTTGGAAAAACAACACATTTATGGGCATGAAGGTGGAGTCTAACATGGCACAGGGGTCAATACGAGAATGTTTTCCTGCCTTCATTTAAGTCCTGCAAAGTCATCCGCACTCAGCACAGGGCCTCAATACTGAGCACATGCGAGGGGCTCGTGAGTATTTATTGACTAGTCACAGAAAATGACAAGAGACCAGTGAAGGCTCAGCACAGTTCTTCCCTCACCCAGGCCTGGCCTTAAAAGCTTCAACAGACCTAGGAATTACACCCTTATATTTCAGAATCCTGGGATTCCAAACTATGTCTAGGTATTGTTTGAGATGGACTGAAGGAAGCCCTGGCAGAGGCCCAGAGTCTGGTTGGTGAGAGACCAGGGTCTGGAGGAGTGGACAACACTTCGAGCCAAAGAACGCAATGTGAAAAACCACCACTCCATGTCTGGGATGACAGAGGGACACACCACACCGCCAGGAGACACCAATTCTCTTTATATTATATAGATTCTAAGACAGGTGGAACTTTGCTCAACAGAGATAAGAAACTGTAAGAGACGTATAGTCCATCCGAGAGCACCCTACCGCGTGGATTTCTTTTTGTTGTTGCAGCATGACTGGCGTTTTTGTAGCGTTGATAGCTGGGCTAAGTTTGTCATAATACAGAGATGAAGAGAAACCCTAATATGTGGCCAATGTGCCACTGAACAATACACCAGTTGTCTCTCTGTGATACCAAGTGAAGGCCGAATGCTGACATTCCTGGCCTAACAGCCCTTAATGCATGAACAGGTGAGGCATTTCACTGAAGAAACAGGTAATGCCAATTCTGATATTAAAAAAAATCAGAGTGTCATATTCTGTTTTGGTTGGCAAAAGGAATCACAAAGTATTCCCATGGAATACCTTGGAAGTCATCCCAGAATTTAGAAAGTCTCTACCATGCCCTAATCTCGTCACTCAAACCTTATCTACGATATCTTGAACTCTCTCTTCCTATTTCCCTTTGATCTCTCAAGATAGCCCAAAAAACAGCTAAGTAGTTTTTGGTACAAATCTGAACTCCAGTTTGGAGAGATTTGTTAAATGAAGTACATTTGCAAATTTAGGTAAAATTGCTGAAAAAGTTGATGGCCTCTGTCTCCTTGAGACCATTTCTCAAAAAAACAATGGAGTAAGCAGTCAGGAGACCTATAGGACACAGTGCGCGAGTATAGTGAACAGAATCTTCTAACTGCTATGTCGGGCAGGGTGGCCCCTCTCCTGCATGGGCCATGGAAACTCTCAAACTGGCACTGAGTGGAGATGGTGCTCAGGATCCTGAGAAGCGGGTCACACGAACAGCTGTGTACTAAGCTCCCTGATCTAC